AAAAAAAAAAGATGGGGGGGGAAAGGGTATACCCTCCCAAACCCCCCCCCCCCCCAGATAGCACCACCAGACAATGCTTAACATGGAACCCACAGGGAAAAAGAAAGAGAGGAAGGCCTAAGGCCTAAGAATACATGGAGGCGTGAGCTAGAGGCAGACATGCAAAATATGAGATACACCTGGAAGCAATTGGAAAGAAAAGCACAGGACCGTGATGAGTGGAAAATTATTGTGGATGGCCTATGCCCTAGACGGGGTAAAAAATCATTAGTCAGTAAGTTTGTTAGGAAGTCGCTATCAAGGGATTCAGAATACACTTTTTCGCTACTCAGTCGCTACCAAGGGATTAAGAGCACTCTTTTGTTGACCATGCTGCTGGCGTAAAGGTCGGTTAATGGAATTCTAAGTGTTTAAAGAAATATGTTTGTTATTGTCACTTAACCGTCTTATTAACTAGACAATAAAAATACATGTACCAGCAAGACCAATGGGTCACAGATATTGGCTTTAGTTTTACAAAGATGTAAAAGAAAGTCGCAATAAAGCTGGTGGATGAATGGGGCATCAATTTTGTTATTTTTTTTAATAATAAATTTAAAAATTTTATATTTTCTTGTTGTTTTTTTTTTTTCAAATAAAATTTTTAAAATTTTACATCTGAGCAGTAAGAGATTTTAAAGCTCCATGCAAAAAAAAAGACCATGCTCCAGAGCTCCAAGCCCTGCTCCGAGCCCTAGCTCCAGCTCCCAATCCCTGGTCTCTGCAACTAGAAAATATAAATGAAAGGACTGCTTTCAAGCTTAGTAGATGAATGAAATAGCGAAACGAGACACGAATGGATACTTCTTGAGTTGTCTACTGTGCTCTTTTCTTTGTTATATTTTCATTTCTAGTGTTGGCTGAGGAAGGGTCTATGCCGAAATGTCCTTGTTTTTTGTCCTGTTATCTTATTTCAAGCTTCCACATACCTCATTGCGCTATTTCATTCTCTGCAAATAACATGTTACCACCGCGCGCACTTCAGGGATGTGGGGAAAAGTGGGGGGGGGGGGGG